GTTTGCTGCACCCATTAACCCATCATCTACATTAGGTATTTCTCCTAATTCTATTCCTCCCTGAGCCCCCACTCCTCAACAGGCCCTGGTGTGTGATGTTCCCCTCCCTGTGTCCATGCATTCTTATTGTTCAACTCCCTCTTATGAGTGAGAACATGTGGTGTTTGGTTTTTTATTCCTGTGTTAGTTTGCTGAGAATGATGGCTTCCAGCTTCATCCATGTCCCTGCAAAGGACATGAACTCATCTTCTTTTATGGCTGCATAGTATTCCATGGCATATATGTGCCACATTTTCTTTATCATTGATAGGCATTTGGGTTGGCTCCAAGTCTTTGCTACTGTGGACAGTGCTGCAATAAACATAGGTGTGCATGTCTCTTAACAGTAGAATGATTTATAATCCTTTGGGTATACTTTCTTTTCTTTTTAATTTCTTTCATGCTCAAAGATCTAGCACAGTTTCTTTCATTGGGTGGATGACTTTGGTAATCTTTTCAAGGAAGATCACTTAGCCCAACATAATGAAGTCTACCTCTAACTTTGAATACTAATGGAAAAATTTCTTGCACAGATTCTGGATCAGACCAGGCTAGTTGAAGCAGAAGCAACAAGAGTTAGAACCCTGGCCAAATTTTCATGAATGACTCCCTTAGAGCTGCTATTGATGCATCTTGCTTTCAGGATTTAAACGAGGCAAAGAGGCAAAGGGCCTTTCCTTTTTTCCTTTTTTAAGGGGATTTCACTGTGATGGCCAGGCTGGTCTTGAACTCCTGACCTCACGTGATCCACCCACCTCAGCCTCCCAAAGTGCTAGGATTACAGGCGTGAGCCACCGCACCTGGCTCTCCATTTTTCTTAAGATTTAAATTTTATTTTATTTATTTATTTATATATTTTTTGCCATATTCTACCACGCTGTCAAGTTCAAGAAATTTAAATTTTAATAACTTTTTTCTTCAGTTTTACATCTACAATCATGTTTCCTATAAATGAAAAGTGTATTACAACTACCAAAAAATTCCACTTGTAAAATGTAGACCACTTACATAGTTATGTATCAAATGTCTTCTGTTGCTTTCTGATATTCTGACAAAGATAGGATGGCAGTCTATTCTAGTTTTTGTGAGATCTATCTATTTAACTTTATTTATTTATTTACTGTATTTTGAGACAGAGTCTCCCTCTGTCACCCAGGCTGGAGTGCAATGGTGTAATCTCTACTTACTGCAACCTCCGCCTCCCGGGTTCGAGCGATTCTCCTGTCTCAGCCTCCTGAATAGCTGGGATTACAGGCACGTGCCACCGTGCCCAGCTAATTTTTGTATTCTTAGTAGAGACAGGGTTTCACCATGTTGGCCAAACTGGTCTCTAACTCCTGACTTCAGGCGATTTGCCTGCCCTCAGCCTCCCAAATTGCTGGGATTACAGACATGAACGTGAACCACCGTACTTGGCCCTTTTAACAGTTTTTTAAGTGCACAGGTATAGTAATATTCTATAGGCACAATGTTGTACAGCAGATCTCTAGAAATTAATCTTCTTGCCTAACTGAAGTTTCATACCCACTGAATAGCAACTCAAGCATTTTCCCATTTGCCTCTTTCTGCAGCCCCTGGAAACCACCATTCTACTCTCTGTTTCTATGTTTTGTATATTTTATATATCTCATGTAAGTGGAATCATGCAATATTTTTCTTCTGTGACTGGCTAATTTCGCTTAGCATAACATCTTCCAGATTTATATATGTTGTCACATATGGTGTATTTCTTCCTTTTTTAAGGCCAAATATTATTCCATTGTATGTGTATACCACATTTCTTTATCAATTTATCTGTCAGTAGACATTTATGTTGCTTCCTCATCTTGGGTGTTGTGAATAATGTTGCACTGAACGTGGTAGTTAAAATATCTCTTTGTGATCCCAATTTCTCTGATTTCTACTCATTCCTTGATACTGGTCCACAAGAGAAGAAGCTTGTGCCAGAGTGTAAATTCATACACTGCTTCCTTCATCAATAGAGCTTTGCAGCCCTGGTACGCTAGCCCACACCTGCAATCCCAGCACTTTGAGAGGCAGAGGTGGGTGGACCACCTGAGGTTTGAGACCTCAGGTTCACTGGTTCAAGACCAGCCTGACCAACATAGGAAAACCCTATCTCTACTAAAAATATAAAAATTTGCCAGATGTGGTAGAGCACGTCTGTAATTCCAGCCACTCAGGAAGCTGAGGCAGGAAAATCACTTGAACCTTGGAGGCGGAGGTTGCAGTGAGCCAAGATCACACCATTGCACTCCAACCTGGGCAACAGAGTTTTCTTTTCAAAAATGAAAAACAAAAGCCTTGTTATAAAGAGAAAATGTCAGTGATACTAAACAATGACTTAGTGTCTGTCATTCGTAAGTATTTTGATTATTGTTGTAATGCAAGGAATTTATCCACTAAGTAGTTAATAAAACTATAGAATATTCACAGTAATCAAATGATCACATTACAAAATATGTATAAATGGAAAAGTGGCCAGGCGTGATGGCTCATGCCTGTAATCCCAGCACTTTGGGAGGCCGAGGCAGGTGGATCACAAGGTCACAAGATCGAGACCATCCTGCTCAATATGGTGAAACCCCATCACTACTAAAAATACAAAAAATTAGCTGGGCATGGTGGCACATGCCTGTAATCCCAGCTATTCAGGAGGCTGAGGCAGGAGAATTGCCTGAACCCAGCAGGTGGAGGTTGTGGTGAGCCGAGATCGCACCACTACACTCCAGCCTGGGTAACGAGAGTGAAACTCTGTCTCAAAATAAATAAATAAATAAATAAATAAATGGAAAAGCAGTTTTTTTTGTTTGTTTGTTTGTTTGTTTGTTTGTTTCCCTAAGACAACATTTCACCATGTTGGCCAGGCTGGTCTTGAACTCCTGACCTCAGGTGATCCACCTGCCTCAGCCTCCCAAAATGCTGAGATTACAGGCATGAGCCACCATGTCTGGCTGGAAAAGCAGTTTTAACACTTAAGATCTATATTTTATTTTATTAGAATATATTTGAAATCTAATATCACAGTAGTATAAAGTTGTTAAAAAAAAAACATGGATCACTGCTGCTCTGTGGAAACTATTATATGAAATCAATTAATTGTATCTCAGTACAACTACTATGGAAAACAGTATGGAGATTCCTTAAATAACTAAAAGTAGTTCTACCATCTGACCCAGCAATTCCACTACGGTGTGTCTACCCAGAGGAAAAGAAGTCATTATACGAAAAAGACACATGCATATGCATGTTTATAGCAGCTCAATTTGAAACTGCAAAAATATGGAACCAGCCCAAATGCCCGTCAATCATCAATCAGTGAATAAAGAAAACTGTGAGATATATATATATATATAAAACCCAGTGAAACTGCATCATGTGTAAGGTGGCCAACTGTCCCGGTTTGCCCAGGACTAAAAAGCTTCCCAGGATATGGGACTTTCAATGCTACAGCTGGCACAGTCCTGGGAAAACCATCCTAATTAGAGCACAGACATGCCGTATGTACTAGCTTCATTTTACTGGAGTGCAATGGAGAGAAATATATATTCTGTGGAATACCACTCAGCCATAAAAATGAACAAAATAATGGCATTTGCAGCAACCTGGCTGGAATTGGAGACCATTATTATTCTAAGTGAAGTAACTCAGGACTGGAAAACCAAATACCATATGTTCTCACTCATAATTGAGAGCTAAGCCATGAGGACGCAAAGGCATAAAGATGATACAGTGGACTCTGGGGACTCAAGGGGAAAAGCGAGGGGGAAAAGGGATAAAAGACTACACACATTGGGTCGACTACCACTATGGAAAACAGTGTGGGGATTCCTTAAAGAACTAAAAATAGATCTACCAAGCTTGGGTGTTGGGTGCACTAAAATCTCAGAAATTACCAATAAAGAACTTATCTATGTAACCAGACACCACCTGTACCCGAAAAGCCTATTGAAATTTTTTTATAGGCTGATAGGTAGTGCCAAAAAAAAAAAAAAAAAAAAGTAATTTCTTTAAAAAGGAAAAAATACCTGACAGAAAAAATGCTCAATAAATATTATCATTTAAAAAAATGGTCTCTGCACTAAGAGCCTCTAAGTTGACTAAATAATACATGTTCCATCTGTACATGTGCTGCTGTTTGAAAATATAAAGATTCTGTTATGATTATAAAATAAGAATGCAGGCTGGGCGAGGTGGCCTACGCCTGTAATCCCAACACTTTGGGAGGCTAAAGGGGGACAGATCTCCTGAGGTCAGGAGTTCAAGACCAGCCTGGCCAACATGGTGAAATGCTGTCTCTGCTAGAAATATAAAAATTAGTCAGGTGTGGTGGTGCACACCTGCAATCCCTGCTGCTCAGGAGGCTAAGGCAGGAAAATCGCTTGAACCCGGCAGGCAGAGGTTGCAGTGAGCCAAGATCGGGCCACTGCACTCCAGCCTGGGCAACAAAGACTCTGCCTAAAAAAAAAAAAAAAAAAAAAAAAAAAAAAAGAATGCATTTAAAGTGCTACAGAATTAAAAGTAGCTTTTAATTCATATGTATTTTCCTAAGCAATATATACTAAAAGTATCATTTCTGTTACATGGAGATTCAAACACTTTTTATGTAGGAGTGTCTTTACACTGATAAGTTTGCTAATAATCCGGGGCCTCTTGACACAACTGCGAAGTTTGTGCACTGCACATAGTGCTGGGTGAGCTCCAGCCATCAGCTCAGTGAAACTGCATCATGTGTAAGGTGGCCAACAGTTCCGGTTTGCCTGGAACTAACAGGCTTCCCAGGATATGGGACTTTCAATGCTATAGCCAGCCCAGTCCTGGGAAAACCATCCTAATCAGAGCACAGACATGCCATATGTACTGCTTCAGCCTTGGAATCCTTTCTTTAGAACTATAAGCCTAAAATAGCTGAAATGATGAAGACATTTTTATATTACTTCTTTTCTCTTTATGTTTTAAAGGTGAGAGAGCCATGTGATCCTGCCAACATCCTGACCAAGCCTGATCCAAGAACCTTCTGGACTAATGATGATTCAGGTATTATTGGAAAAATACAATTTGTTTTCTGTTGTGTGCAGGATGCATTCTATAGCAAAGCTCTACACAAAGGCAAGGTTTAGGGGAAAATTTTATTTGTTTGTTTATTCTTACCTAACCCAACACTTGAATACACTTTGCAATTAATTTTTTTTGTTGTTTTGAAATAGAGTCTTGCTCTGTTTCCCAGGCTGGAGTGCAGTGGCGCTATCTCGGCTCACCGCAACCTCCGCCTCCCGGGTTCAAACAATTTTCCTGCTTCAGCCTTCCAGAGTAGCTGGGACTACAGGCATGCGCTACCATGCCTGGCTAATTTTTGTATTTTAGTAGAGACAGAGTTTCACCATGTTTTTGCCAGGCTGATCTTAAACTCCTGACCTCAGGCAATCCGCCCGCCTCAGCCTCCCAAAGTGCTGGGATTACAGGCGTGAGCCACTACGCCCGGTCTTGCAATCAACATTATCCTAAAAGTCCTTTCATTATATCTTCTTTTTAGTATCTAAAACATATCTATTAGAGTCCTTTGTCCTTTGTAAGTATGACGATTGGGTTTTCACATTTCTGTGTGAGACATGCCTCCTTCAAACCTTGTTATAATGTCAGCACATTACCTGCCTATCATTAAAATATATATCTGTATATAAAATCAGGTACAGCTTTGTGCATTGTGAGGCATACTTAAGTGTTGGGAAGAATGAATGAGTCTGTTTGCTGGAGTAGAAGATAGAGGAGTAAAATAAAGTGGGCAAATACATGAGTCCAAGTTTGTCTTCTAGAGCAAGGAAGGGATATGAAAACAGAGGGTGAATCATACTTCGGAATACTTAAAGGAGGTGGGGATGTCTTGCACTATGATATCAGGGCCATACGTCTAATCAGAATCAGAGGAATGCCACTGTATGAGATCGGAGAATATGCTTCAGGTTATATGATTAGAAATTACACTTAGACAAAGGGTAGGGAATGCTCTCATAGGAAATAGATGACGTTTAAACCTTTTTCATGCTGGGTGCGATGGCTTACACCTGCAATCCCAGCACTTTGGGAGGCCGAGGAGGGCAGATCATGAGGTCAGGAGATTGAGACAATCCTGGCTAACACAGTGAAACCCTGTCTCTACTAAAAATACAAAAAATTAGCCAGGCGTCGTGGTGCACACCTGTAGTCCCAACTACTTGGGAGGCTGAGGCAGGAGAATCTCTCGAACCCGGGAGGCAGAGGTTGTGGTGAGCTGAGATCGCGCAACTGCATCCCAGTGTGGGCCACAGAGCGAGACTCCATCTCAAAAAGAAAAAAAAAGATTCTTTTTCACAAACACACATAAGCCATGAGGCCTAACTGCACAAAGTCGACACTAGAAATAAAAGGGGAGGTGAAGCAAAAAGGGGCTCAAATAATTACGAGAGTGATAGTCGAGCTTTCACCTTTTCTAATGAAACGGGTCTGACGAAATGGAAGACTTCTGCTGATATCTGATATTTGTATTACGCCTCATACTTTCACAAATGGTTCAGCAGAAATCTAATGTAGTGTTTGCAGCAATCCCTTGAAATAAGAGGGACAGCCTTTTTCTTGCTATGCCTCTATTAGAAAAGACAATAGTAAGCTGAATAGGTTATAGCTGCCGTATCCAAAGCTCCCAGCCAGAAAATACCAAGGCTGGGGGAATGGAGAGCAGACTGCCCGGTTCTATAGCACACTCCCTGGGAAGAAGCAGCTCTCCGAGCAGAACAGCTTGGGCTAAATCTGCGCTTTAATCTGTTCTTCATGAAAAGGAGTCAGAGACTGTGCCTATTAGGAGAAACAGGAGGACTTGAGAAGGAAAGTGAGAAACTCTCTGATTTTTTTTTTTTTTTTCAAAGACCAGGCAGGCTCGTGGTCTAAACATTATCAATTTCATCTGTCAAAATTTTTTTTCTGTCTTGTTTTATTAAGCCTTTTGAAGAAAAAAGAAAAAGCATAAAAGCAAATTAGCCTGTTTATGCCATCATTTCAGCCCATTCGAAGTACACCACCACAATAAACAAGCCATCTGCTATTAAGATGTACATACAGCACATGTGTTATGACGAACCAATGTAGAATGAAACATTACCCAAAAAACATAAATGGTTTTTGATATTATGTAAAGAAAATGGAAAGGGAGGGAAATGTGTACAGGACAGGTCTAGAAAATGGTGCTTCACCCGTGGCCCTTCGGGCTGCTCTGTCTATAAAGTAGCCATTCTTCATTCTTTTACTTTCTGAATAAACTTGCTTTCACAAAAAAAGAGAGAAAGAAAGGAAGGAAGGAAAGAAGAAAGGAAAGAAAGAAAGAAAGAAAGAAAGAAAGAAAGAAAAGAGAGAGGAAGGGGAAAGAAAGAAAGAAAGAGGGAGGAAGGAAGGAAGAGAAAGAGAAAGGAAGGAAGGAAGGAAAGAAGGAAGAAAGGAAAGAAATAGCCAGGCATGGTGGGGCATGCCTGTAATCCCAACTACTTGGGATGCTGAGGCAGGAGAATCGCTTGAACCAAGGAGGCAGAGGTTGCAGTGAGCCAAGATTACACCACTGCACTCCAACATGGGCAACGAGAGTGAAACTGCATCTCAAAAAAAAAAAAAAAAAAAAAAAAAAAAAAAAAAAAAAAAACAAACAAAGGAAAGAAAGAAAGTGAAATAAGAGAAAGAAAGAAAGAAGAGAAAAAAGAAAAAGTTGCTTAGACAATTTAGAAGCCTAAAGAAATTATATTATGGGCTGAATGCAGTGGCTCATGCTTGTAATCCCAGCAATTTGGGAGGTCGAGGTGGGCGGATCACCTGAGGTCAGGAGTTTGAGACCATCCTGGCCAACATGGTGAAACCCCATCTCTACTAAAAATACAAAATTAGCTGGGCATGGTGGCAGGCGCCTGTAATCTCAGTTACTCTGGAGGCTGAGGTGGGAGAATCACTTGAACCCAAGGAAGTGAAGGTTGCAGTGAGCCAAGATTGTGCCATTGGACTCCAGCCTGGGCCATAAGAGTAAAACCTGGTCACAAAAAAAAAAAAAAAAAAAAAAAAAAAGAAAAGAAAAGAAAGAAAAATAGGAATAGAAATATTCAGATCTACTCTTTTTTTTTCCTGAGCTTTCCTGAGCTGGAGTCTTGCTCTCTCACCCAGGCTGGTGACAGATTTACTCATTTTTAAAACATTATTACTTTTCCTTCATTAGTAGGGTTACGAAGAATGGAGTGTCCCTCCTACAAGAGCTCATCTCATGAAGAGCTTCCCAGTCAGCAACTTAACCAACTCATAAAGTAGGATCTATGTCTAGAGTAATTTTTTTTTCTTTTTTTTTTTTTTTTTGGCATAGTTGATCAGTCCATTATTATGAGGTTTTTTTTTTTTTTTCTGTTGTTTTTTGCTTTTTTAAATCTCCACCTCTAGTGGTCTTTTGGTTCTTTTAATCAATTTTTGCTTTGCTTTATATATTTTGAATAGATTTCATTATGAGTCACCTATGTCTTTATGATTATTTCCTGATGAACTGATCATTTTATCGTTAGGAAATTTTTTTCTTTATCTCTGGTAAAAGTCTTTGTTTGAACTCTGTTTCTTCTGATAGCTTTAGTCAGTCCAGTCTTGCAAAGCCTTCTTTTCACATGGCATATATTTTCTATCCATTTTCTTTCAACCTGTGTCTTTTAGTTAAAGTGCGTATCTTATAGACATCATGAGGTCAGGTTTTCCTTTTAAATCCTATCTAACAATCTCTGTTTTTTACTTGGGATGTTTAGACCCCTTACACTTAATGTAATGACACAGTTAGATTTAACTTTACTGTTTTGCTATTTGTTTTCTACACGCCCCTTATCTTCTTTCTTTGCTTGTTCTTCCTTTCTGACTTCTCTAGGATTATTTGAATAATTATTGATTATTTGAATATTTTCATATAATCAAAATATTATAGATTGATTTCAAATAATCAAAATATTGTTATTTGATTTCAAATAATCAAAATATTATTGATTATTTGATTTCAAATAATCAAATAATTATTGATTATTTGAATAGTCTAATAATATTTTAGAATTTAATATTAATTTACCTGTTGACTTTTTAGTTACACCCTTTGCATCATATTTTCAGTGGTGCTCTGAAGATTATAATAAATGACTTTATTTATTTATTTATTTATTTTTTGAGACGGAGTTTCACTCTTGTTACCTAGGCTGGAGTGCAATGGCGCGATCTCGGCTCACCGCAACCTCTGCCTCCTGGGTTCCTGCCTCAGCCTCCTGAGTAGCTGGGATTACAGCCATGCGCCACCATGCCCAGCTAATGTTTTGTATTTTTAGTAGAGATGGGGTTTCACCATGTTGGCCAGGATGGTCTCAATCTCTTGACCTCATGATCCACCCGCCTTGTCCTCCCAAAGTGCTGGGATTACAGGCTTGAGCCACCGTGCCCGGCCGACTTTATTTTATTTTATTTTATTTTTGAGACAGAGTCTCAGTCTGTTGCTCAGGATGGAGTGCAGTGGCACAACCTCAGCTTGCTGTGACTTCCACCTTCTGGGTTCAAGTAATTCTCCTGTCTCAGCCTCCCAGGTAGAGAGATTACAGGCACAGGCCACCCCTGGCTAATTTTTGTACTTTTAGTAGAGATGGGGTTTCATTATGTTGGCCAGGTTGGTCTCGATCTCCTGACCTCAAGTGATCCACCCGCCATGGTCTCCCAAAGTGCTAGGATTACAGGTGTGAGCCACTGCACCTGACCTATAATAAATGACTTTAAATTTTCATAAACCATGGTCAAAATTTTCAAACAATGTAGGTGTATCTACCCCACTCTACTCTCATCTTTTATATTATAGCTGTCATAGATATTATCTATATATGTACTAAACCCTCCATATATGTACTAAACCGTACAGTACAGTGCATTTTTTTAAAAATAAGAAGAAAATTTTCTTTTGTATTCATCCAGATTATTACCATTTCCAATGTTCTTCATTTCTTACTGCAAATTTGTTTCTCTCTGGT